TTTTTTATTTACGAGCTCAACAAGATTTTGTTTTTGATTTTTTCATTCCAGATTAGCTGCTGTTAGGTGAATATTTTGTTCAGATTAGTAGAAAACATTGCAAAACGGTGATTTAATGGCAGATCCTCAAGGTCTGGAGGGGAATCAACCTGTTGACATCTCTAAGCATCCTTCAGGGATCGTACCTACTCTACAGTGAGTTCTTTTTTTTTCCAAAAAAAAGTTGTTTTTCTCAAACTATCAGTTGTGATCCACCAGAAAAAATGCAAGTATTTTAATAATTTAATGCACCCATGAACTGACTTTTTACTGATGAGCAGAGTACCTTTATGCACCATGGTAGTCATGCTTGGTTATTGTAATAGGTCACAATGAACGGAAATAGATATGCTTTTGCACTTAATTTCTTGTTATAAGCCTAGAGAAACCAAAATGCCAAAGCATTCATGACTTAGCAAGACCACGCTTATGAGATATGATGGGTTTACAGGGAGAACATTAAGTACGTACTCCACTTTACACTGCTCTTGGGATTTGTTTCTCTTTATTAGTCGTTTACAGGGAGAACATCAAGTACGTACTCCAGTTTACATTGCTCTTGGGGTTTGTTACTCTTTATTAGTTCTATTCTATTGACGTTCACTTTGTAAGAACTAGTATGACTCTGAATTTGGCTCTGTTGTTGTGCCGATATTGGATATATCACCCTTTTGGCAGATTAGTTGTTTCTAGGCTAGTTAGTTCTTGGCACACCAGGTATGCAATATGACCTGAGTCATTGATAAATGGGCTGTAGCAACTATTTAAATGTCTGGAAAAATTATCACGTTTGGGAAAAGTCATTTTACTTGTCCTGTCGATTGTTACTCGTATAGGAATCCTGATTGATTTAAAACAGGAACATTGTGTCAACAGTCAATTTAGACTGCAAATTGGATCTTAAAGCTATAGCATTGCAAGCTCGAAATGCAGAATACAATCCCAAGGTATGTTGCAACAATGAACCAGTGTGTGCCGTTACTTCTTATATTTAATTATTTACACTAATTATCTAACACTTGAAATTCTATGCTTTTCATGTATAAATTGTCTGCAAGTATAGTGGGCTACTAGATCAATACTGATTTTTTTTTTTAATCTGTTTCTCATGTGTTCTGATCTTGTATCCTTTGCTGAACATATATGAGCTCCAAGGTTTAGAGTGGTTTTTGAACAGTTATTTTGCTAGCACAGATTATATATTCTCAAGCTCATCAACATTATAAAATAACTCCGGGCGCTGGGTTTTTTAATTTTGTTTCAGCTGTTGACATCAGAAAGCTGGTTTTTTGGTGGCTTACTTTTTTTCATTTGTTTTAACTCTGTTGCCATCTCATCTAAGTGAAATATTTTCGTCTTTTATTTACATTGTATTATACTGTAGCCCCAAATCTTAGATAGCGTAAGCAGTGGCAAATTGAAATTCAGAAAATAGGAAGTCACTAGATTTGCGTCGATTCTGAATTCATTACTTACTTTCCCGTGGGATTCCAGCGTTTCGCTGCGGTGATTATGAGGATCAGGGAACCAAAAACAACAGCACTCATATTTGCATCTGGAAAGATGGTAAGGCATGATTATCTTTTGGTAACCGTTTGTAAGATATATCCTCTTGTTAATGACTTCTGTTTAAGACTGGTGATAGGTAAATATATTTTGTCGACCCTAAGTGCTTATGACTCATCCTTCAAATTTTACTTTTGGGGACTATTCAAGTCCCTTTTGATGATTTACTGAAAACTCCTTTGCATTATAGGTTTGTACAGGGGCCAAGAGTGAACAACAATCGAAATTGGCTGCTCGGAAGGTATATACCTATGACTGATATACTAACGATCTAATTGCGGATCAGAGTTTCTTTAAGGAAACCATTTGTTGGCACAAAAATGAAAGTTTAAGCTATTGGGTTTTACATGAACTAGTGTAGAATAATAAACTTTACACAAAACAAACTGAACAATTCATTTAAGTCTGTCTTACTTTTCTCTCATTATCTATTCACCTTCCATCCTATCTCTTCAGTATGCTAGAATTGTTCAGAAGCTTGGCTTCCCAGCAAAATTTAAGGTATCTAATTGGATCTGTCTATTGGTCTTCTCTCATCATTGACTTCTATACTTAACATCATTTTTCTTCCCTTTCCTTTTTACAGGATTTCAAGATTCAGAACATAGTTGGTTCTTGTGATGTGAAATTTCCAATTCGACTTGAAGGCCTTGCCTATGCGCACGGTGCCTTTTCAAGCGTGAGTTGTTCAGTAGGCTGTGTTGTCATGGTGTCTCTTCGATGTTGTTACCAGCAACATTCTAAATAATTTAATTTATCAAGACAAAGTAATGTTGGTGATAACATGTCATTGATTATTCGATGATTGGGTGGGGTTGGGGGGGTTTAGGCGCCCCAACATGACAAGTCTGTTATTTTCAAATTAGGAAAGTTCTTTGTTTCAAGCACCTTTGCTTAATGTTTAAGTTGACGTTAATTTTGTATTCTGTTCATTCAGTACGAGCCTGAGCTTTTTCCTGGATTAATTTATCGGATGAAACAACCAAAGATAGTCTTGCTCATTTTTGTCTCGGGGAAGATTGTTCTCACCGGAGCCAAGGTAATAACTCTACTTTGTTTGTTTTGGAGATTATCATTTCTTTATTTGCGCTATTGTACTTCCTGACGATGATTGAATGCATTCTTCTTTCTTACATTTTCAGGTTAGAGATGAAACATACACAGCCTTTGAGAATATATACCCTGTTCTCACTGAATTCCGAAAAGTTCAACAGTGGTATGAAGAAAATGTGGTTATATGTTCTGTTTTCCACTGCTAAATTCTGGTATTTCTGTGACTTGTTAATCTATCGTATCTTTGAACAGATGACCTCTATAGTTCCCGAAAGATGAGCTTATTGATCAGCAAGAGAGACAGTTGATGTGCGAGACTCTTAGGTTTCTTATATGATTATTAGGGTGAAAAACTGTAAGCATTGGATGATAGAAAAGATTTGGAAGCTTAGAAGCCAGATCGTGGGGATAAACATGGAAGTCGCCCTTGAACATGCATAACAAAAAAAAA